CCCCACCCCCCGCCAGGCTTACCTGTATCCATTTTCGACAGTTTCCGTGGACCTCACATTCGCTGTAGCCCTCAGAGTTTTGCTGGACAAGCCAACCACAGTGGGTGAAAGTTTGCACTTGAAGTCAGCACAAGTCCATTCCTCTTCTTCATTCAAGGTGGGGAGATAGCCACACACGACCTTTAGGCTCCCGAGTCCCCCGCTGTTCATATAAGCTGTGTTTTCTCCCCCACTCCTCACATATTCGAGGTATATATCAGAAGTCAAAAACATCTGGTAGGCATTTTCCTCCATCACCGACTGGATCTCGGTCTGCGCCTGGTCGAACATGATGGAATCAATCTGTTGCTTTTTGATGCCATCTCTTATGTAAGTCTTGGTGGCAGGTTTCAGCTGCTTGGAGACAATGCTGTTGTTCTCGATGTACCTTTTGTAGATCGCTTTGGCCACTCGCAGAGTTTTGGTATCCTTCAGGTTCATCTGCCTGAATCCATTGCAGGCAAACCAGAAGTCTAAAGTATCCACGCATTTCTCCCTCTCCAGGAAAGTCCGGAAGAGATAAGCACCGTCTTGATCGCCCAGCAAGGAGTGCAATGACTTGGTCCACCTGGTCAGAGGGGAGTCCGGAGATGCCCGCCCCTCCGGCTCCCCCAGCCCATCCTCATTGCGCCTGGTGTTGGAGGAGACGGGCAGAGGTTTGGTGACCTGGCCCTTTCCCACCCCAGGCTGGCAGGGTGGGGTCTCCCCTTCCTCCCCCGGAACCGGGGGCCGGGGAGCATCCTCTCGGAAGCTGCTGCTGGGGTCTGGCAGGCGAGTAACCAACACAGCGCTACTCATGGTGAGCGAGTTCTTGCTTCTCACTGAGTTTGGGAATTTTTTTTCTTCTTCCAGTTCCTCTCAGCAATCAGCGTGGTCTCTCTCTCTCTCTCAAGTCAGCAGGGGCTCATCTGAGCCTCCTTTCTGGAAAGAAAAAGAAGGGGGAGGTAGGGAGAGAAAAGGGTATTGATCTAATCAAAACCAGATCTGCCCAACATCAAAGCAAGAAAGTAAACAGGCTTTTCAACTCCTCAAATTCAAATCAAGCAACCCAGCTATCTGCGAGGTGCTCATCTAAGGTATCAGACGCTTTTTCAAAGGCGAAATCTGAGCTCCCT